AGTAGCGCTGGTAGCAAGCTCTACACCCTGCCAGTCTCCTGAGTCGAAGAACTGACGATCAGGACTCTAGAAGATACTGGTTCCATTCGCAGATTATAAAATCTAGCAAATGTATTAGGCGTAGCCCAACTTGCAGCTCTACAGATACCTGCTAGAGAGGCCCCGTTCGCCAGGGCTGCTGATGCAGCCATGCCCCTGGTAGAGTGAGCCCTCACTCCCAGTGGGTAAGGTAGGCCTCTGGCTTGATAGGCCATTCGGATGGCATCCACAATCCAGTGGGAGATCCTCTGTCTGGAGACAACATTCCCCTTCTGCTGTCCTTCGAAGCAGATAAAGATCTGTTCAGAGCACCTGAAACTCTGCGTGCGATTTAGGTATGTGCGTAGGGCTTGCACTGGGCACAACAGAGACAGGTCGGGGTCCCCTTCTTGGAAGGAGATAGCTTGCAATGTTACCACCTGGTCCCTGAAAGGAGTGGTGGAATCCTTGGGCACATATCCAGGCCGGGATCTCAGGACAACGTGAGAGTCTGCCGGCCCGAACTCCAGGCTTGATTCTTGTTTACGGAGAGGGCTTGGAGATCCCCCACCCTCTTGACAGAAGTGAGCGGAATCAGGAGGGCCGTCTTCATGGAGAGGGCACTGAACTCAACTGACTGAAGGGGCTCAAACGGATCTCTCTGTAAGACCTGCAAGACCACAGTGAGATCCCAGGAGGGAATGAGACGTGGCCTCGGAGGGTTCAACCTCCGGGCGCATCTGAGGAACCTGATAACCAGATCATACTTCCCCACCGATCTGCCTCCCACGGTGTCTTGGTTAGCCGCAATTGCGGCCACGTACACCTTGTGTGTAGAAGCAAACAGGTGCCTGTCCAGGCCTCCTTGGAGGAAGGAGAGCACAGATCCGATGCTACATCTCCGAGGGTCCTTCCCCTGGGAAGAACACCAATTCACAAAAACGCGCCACTTCAGGTCATACAACCGCCTCGTCGAGGGGGCTCTGGCCTGAGTAATGGTATTCACCACAGCTGGTGAAACGTCTCTAAGTTCCTCCTGGTCACATCCAGGGACCAAACATGAAGGTTCCAAAGATCCGGGCGCGGATGCCAAATTGTGCCCTTCCCCTGAGAAAGGAGGTCCTTCCTTAGGGGAATTCGCCAGGGAGGAACTGATGCCATGAGCACGAGCTCCGAGAACCAGGTCCTGTTGGGCCAATAAGGGGCCACATGCAGGAGCTGTTCCCCGTCTTCCCTGACTTCGCACAGTGTCTGTGAAATTAGGCTCACTGGGGGAAACGCATACTTGAGTAGGCCCCTGGGCCAGCTGTGAGCCAGTGCGTTCATGCCGAGGTGAGCCTTGGTCAGGGAGTAGCACAACTGGCAGTGGGTCGATTCCAATGAGGCAAACAGGTCCTCCCTGGCGAATTCCCCTAAGGAAGGACCTCCTTTCTCAGGGGAAGGGCACAATTTGGCATCCGCGCCCGGATCTCTGGACTCAATTGCACCCTTCTCGAGAAGGGTTGCGACCTCCGCTCAAAGGACAGCAGCATTCTCGCCTCGTACTGAGGTAAACAGAATGCCCCTGAACTTGTGCGGGCGCCTGGCGAACTGAATCGCATAGCCGAGCCGAATGGTTCTGAAGAGCCATCGGGAGGGATTGGAGAGGCTTGACCAAGCATCCAGATACCCTGCCAACGGTCTCAAAGGAACCATGTTCGACGTACCTCAGGTAGGGTTCCAGTGGCTGAGTGGAATGGAAGGAGGTGGTAGGAGGTGAAACGTCCTGTGAAACACACAGCGCCTTGTCCGCAGGGTCTGTCACATGTGCCACTGATGGATGAGGGAACATGAGTTCGCCAGCATGCGTCGTGTTGGCTGAGTGATAGACCCTTTGCATCTGAATGTGAGGAGACAGAGTGTCTATGTCCAAACAGGTTCTGATGCATGGTTTCAGCGTCTGGCCGTTGCAAATGGGAGGGCCAATGTGTGACCCAAAAATGCTGTGTGTGTGACCCAAAGAAGAAGGAAATTGCTCTTTTATTGACCAGGTGGTGAGGGCACAATTTGGCATCCGCGCCCGGATCTCTGGACTCAATTGCACCCTTCTCGAGAAGGGTTGCGACCTCCGCTCAAAGGACAGCAGCATTCTCGCCTCGTACTGAGGTAAACAGAATGCCGCTGAACTTGGGTGGGCGCATGGCGAACTGAATTGCATAGCCGAGCCGAAGGGTTCTAAGGAGCCATTGGGAGGGATTGGAGAGGCTTAACCAAGCATCCAGATCCCCTGCCAACGGCCTCAAAGGAACCACGTTCGACATACCTCAGGCAGGGTTCCTGTGGCTGAGCGGAGTGGAAGGCGCTGTGGTAGGAGGTGAAACTTCCTGTAAAACACACCGCGCCTTGTCCCCAGGGTCTGTCACATGTGCCACCGACGGATGAGGGAACATGAGTTCGCCAGCATGCGTCGTGTTGGCTGAGTGATAGACCCTTTGCATCTGAATGTGAGGAGACAGAGTGTCTATGTCCAAACAGGTTCTGATACATGGTTTCAGCGTCTGGCCGTCGCAAATGTGAGGGCCAAAAACGCTGTGTGTGTGACCCAGAGAAGAAGGAAATTGCTCTTTTATTGACCAGGTGGTGACTATCTGCCAGGTGGCAAACAGCTGTGGTGGAGCCGAATCCACCTCCCGTCCCCCCTCCGGCAGTGGATCCAGGCTGGCCAAATGGTCCCTCCTCCCTGAGTCGCCCGTCTCAGGAACGCTTTGAAGCCTTGCGAGGGTTCCTGGTGCCCTGATGACGAGCTGGCGGTGCCACATTCCTGCGAGTGGTGGGCCGTTGGTCAAGCTTGACTGAAGGCCCGGGCTGTTGCGGGGCCTCAGCAGTCCTCGCAGGGGGCCGTCCCCGGCAATGAGCAGACGGGGGCTGCTGACTCGGGGGTGCAGGAGCAGGACCTAACCCACGCCGAGGCAGGATGTGTTCGATGGCCTTCATCTGCTTCATCTGCAAATTCTTCCACGGTGTCGCCAAAGAGACCAACCTGTGAAATGGGGGCGTCAAGAAAGCGTACTTTCTTGGCTTCCCGCATCTCAGCCAGGTTGAGCCACAGGTGGCGTTCCTGGACCACTAAAGTGGACATCGCCCTCCCCAGAGCCTGCGCCGTGACCTTCGTAGCCCGGAGGGCATAGTCAATCGTTTAGCGCAGTTCCTGCAGTACATCTGGGTTGGGATCACCCTTGTGCAGTTCTTTCAATGCCTTGACCTGGTAGACCTGCAGGATGGCCATGGCATGCAGGCGGATGCAGCTTTTCCAGAAGCTGAATAAGCCTTCGCCACCAGGGATGAAGAGAACTTACAGGCCCTGGTCGGGAGTCTCGTGCGGCGTTTTGCAGCAAAGATGCACCGCAATCACTCTCTCCACCTGGGGAACCTCCGTATACCCCCTCGCTGGACCCCCTTTGAGGGTGGGGAGGGCAGAGGAGCCAGTGTACCATGTTCTGGCCAAAAAACGGGCCTTTCACGAATTCATCAGCTCCCCGTGCACTTCCGGGAAGAAAGGCACCGGGGCCGAGCGCGGCTTAGTGTCGCGCTCAGCACCAAGAAACCAATCGTCCAGCCACGAGCGCTCGGGGCAGGGTGGGGGAGACCACTCCAGCCCAATGCTCCCAAGAGCGACCCCTAGTGTCGTACACTCAACACAACGTCGAAGTGAACGACAGAAAGGGAAACCAAGATGTGAAACAGGAGAAAACTTACTGTAAAGTCTCTGTCCGTCTGCTAATGGCACCAACTCACGAACAATCTGCCCGTCGTCTTCATTGTGGTCGAACCATCTGAACAGATGAAGGAGGATATGTTAAATAAAAGGAAAAAAAGAAAGACAAACGTCACTCAAGAACGACCTATTCTGCACATTAAAGGGTTAGTTCACCTAAAAATGAAAATTCTGTCATTAATTACTCACCCTCATGTCGTTCCAAACCCGTAAGACCTTCGTTCCTCTAGGATATTTTCGATGGAATCTGACCCTCCATAGACAGCAACACAACTGATTACATTCTGGGGAAAGCGCGCACATGTGTCGTGGTACTCTCCAAAATGGCGGAAGACGGTAACTCAGGGAGAAGAATTGTTGAATAAATTGTTATTTTTGTTTTCTTTGCACACAAAAAGTATTCTCGTAGCTTTGCAAAATGGAAGTTGAGCCACTGATGTCACATGGACTGTTTTACTGATGTCCTTGCTACGTTTCTGGGACTGGAAACATTGCAGTTGCGTTGCTGTCTATCAAAAATATCTTAATATGTGTTCTGAAGATGAACGAAGGTCTTACGGGTTTGGAACGACATGAGGGTGAGTAATTAATGACAGAATTTTCATTTTGGGGTGAACTAACTCATTAAACCAACGCTTTGGGTTCCAGTTAATGGATTGACGGTAACCTGTTGCATGGGAACTCGACGGCCTGTGATTCGGCCTGGCCTTCTTCTCTGACGACCGTTTTATCCACGAACCATCCGCAGCCTCCGCCGTGGCCGTCGTGACCAATTCTTATCCTGCGCACCTGACCGATGGACGCGGCCTCAATGATGAACTCATCCCCCTGTGACAAATACACAGAACACCCAGCTAATAAAGTTTGGCTCCCAGAACGTTCTATTTTAAGGTTTGTATTTGGTTAGACAGGAAGGTTTTCTTAACGAACATAGAGCGTTAGTTTTTGGTTTCTAGAATGTTAAAATATAAAATAAAAAAGAATGGCAGACATTTAGGCCAAAGTGAGCAAAGATAGAAATCTTTGTCATTATTTTATCTTTGTTATTAGAAAATATGAACAAAGATATACATTACAAATACACATAATATACAAATAAAACAAATAGTGCTTTATTTTTCAGGTACAGTATTTAGCAGTAACATTCAAGAAATTAAAATAAAACACTTTATACACTATATACATCTATTATAGTTTTTTTAAGCAACTGACTAAGAGCAGTGAGTGATTTTTCTCTGTGTTTTGTTGTTTTTATTAACATTAAAAGAATAGTTCACCAAAAATGAAAATTCTGTCATCTGTCTTTCAATTCTGTCATAGTGTTTCATTTTTATACCATCATTTACTCCAGTTGTGTTAAATCTGAATTAGTTTATTTC